GTTTGCGTATTGTTATTTTGCATTGTTTTATTAGAATTGTTATCTAAGATTTTTTTTTGTTCGTTGCGAAATGTTGCATTCAACGCGTTTAATTGATTGAGTCATTAGTGTTAATCTTATGCAATGCGGCAACTGTAATTATTTCGAAAAGTTATGATTTCTTTAAAATTTATCACATGTTTATCATGGACTTAAAGTTTATGGTTTTTAATTGATTCATTAATCGAATGAGTTTATTGTTTTGATTCGCATTGTTCGCTTGTAACGAATAGGTTTATTATTTATGGATTTGTTTGTGTAAATCGTGTAGATTTTGAATGGTTTTAATGATGGTTTTTCAAGAAAATAGGATTTCGATGTAAAACCTTTGGGCAATCGTCGTTAATTGTGTGTCCGGGGCTGAGGGATTTGAAAGAGACACACACACACCATTCTTATCGTTTTTCTTTTTATTTCTCTCTGTCTTTAGAGTTACTTAATTCGGAGAGTTATGAGATCCGAAGTGGTCCTAGGTGGTCCGGCCCACATGCGTTTCATCACCATCGTCGGAGGCTGTGATAGATGGTAACGATGGAAACACAAACACACACATAGAGAAAAAGCGTACGCACTGTCGTGGATTGAAGTTAGTTATGTAAATGGGGCGAGCGGGAAATGTGGAAAAAGAGACTTGAATCGCAGATTAAAAGGTGCGTGGTTTGCGGCCAAAAATGGGTAAATATCGTCCTTAAACGGGCAAAAGGAGTCTATATTAAGAGAGCCGCGATGCCGGATTCGTATTCTCATACATATCACTTTCTAAATGGACAGCCAATAAATAAGAACGAGCGCGGCGCGGGGCCCCCGAATGTGTTAAAAGCGCTGCTCGAGTCACGACAGGGCGAGAAGAGAACGAAGAAAACGAGTCAACCGAGTCAAGCATCGTCGGATGGACGAAAACGCCGTTTGCAGCAGGATTCAATTGAACGGATCGCACAGCTAATTGCACGACTGAGTGTGGATATTACGGACTCTCAGCGGAAAAGATTAATTGTTTCCGTGTTAACTATGGATAATTAATTTCACTTCAGTTTTCTTTGACTCCTCTCTAATAACGGGACACAATTCCTAACACATAAATCGCAAAGTTTCAAAAAAAACTTGTACCAAATTTTAATTGTGTTACTAAATAAATCTCTACTATTAGAGTATAAAACGTATAAAGTTACACGGAAAGCAGCATCCTATTTTTTTGTTTCTTTTCTTGTTGAAATGAAATTAATTTTCGGAGCGTTTCGAAGAGGTTCGAAAACAGCGATACCGAAATTTTTATAATTATCGTATCGGAATCTAGCCGGACGGGTCGAGGGTGCCACGAACGACCCGACGTGCCATTTGTAACCGGCCAACGGATTTCGGACCTTCTTGCTCAACACTTCTTCAGTTCACACTAAACCCCGACTCCGCAAGACTTTCGCGGCATTCCGCCGCTCCAATACGAATTCTTACATTCACACACTTATATACAGGGTGTTTCTAATTGTATTAAATCTTTACTTAAAAAACTATACACAAACTTTATCGAATAATATTTATTAAACAAAATTTTTCTTTTGAAAAAAAATATACAATTATTACAAGAATTTTCTTATAAGAATTAAACGAAATATAATTAAATTTCTTGCGTATTTACAAGATTATTATTACAATCAGCAATTAGAATTTCTTAATTTAAGAATCAATTTTTTTTAACAATTATCATAATTTCTATGATACACTTTAATTTATAAATAATTGTTAAATTTGATTAAATACCAATTTAGTTTAATATAATTGTTTAATGAGGAATTCAAGATTTTTGTAAGAAATCCTGAAACTAAATAAATGAGTTTATGAAGATTTCTTCTTGCTCGTGAAATTGGTTTAGGATCACCCTGTATTATTATATATAAAAAAAATGAGAGTCGGAGCGAAAATATCACGTTACCATAGTAACAACAATAACAAAGGGGAGTTAATTAATTAATTTGACAGTGAAGGGGGGGCACCTAATTTATCGCCGCCAACTACAAAAAATAAATATGTTTTCTCTTTGGAATCTCCATCGTTTTACTTTTATGCCCACTCTGTTGCGGCTGCTCATTCATTAAAAAACCCTAAAATTTTAATCGAGTCCCATCATTCGGACGGAAAAGCCGGGGTCTCGTAAAAATCCGCCGTCTCCTCTAATGCAACACCTTGAAAATAAATCTCTCGCCCGTTTCGTGTTAGTACGTATATGTATATATATATATATCATAAGAAGGCAACATATTTAAACCGAAGAAGTCACGGTTCAGTTGGTGCCGGAATTTTATTCCTCCGGTTCACCGATCGAATTCTTTCCAGCAATTTAACGAATCGATACTCTCTCAGTCTTTTACTCTTTCTGTTCTGCTCTTTTCGTTCTTCAGCTATAGCACAAAATATATTTATTTATTGTTATTAAATGGCGATAGCCTCGGGTTCAATGCTTCATAAATTGTTCGCCCATTGTCGACGACAATTCCTTAGCGCTAAGACCATTTTATTGCCGCGTTACGGAGGTAATTATGCACTCAGTTGTGTAGTGAGAGAGGAACGAAACGGGAGCCGCAAAAGAAATGAAGGAATGAGTGAGGAAAAAAAATCTCGCGAGACGACGCGCGTTACGTTTTAAACATTGTTTTCCACAGTTTTGCTGCTTTGTTTTTGCCGTTATCAATCGAACTCTCTGGCTTATTATTCCCAATGCGGAAATTCGATTGTTATTACACTGCGGATTTCTAATTGAACATGATTTGCTTACAGCAACTTTCCTATGGAAAATCAAAAACTTCGCGCACACAAATCACTTCACTTTCATTGCAAATCCAAACAAAAAAGTCTTAATTATTTGACCTCAAGAAAAGTACAAATATTCCTATAAATTAATTGCAACTATTTTTTTTAACACTTAGTAAAATAACAAATTTTCTACACTTTATCAAAATAATTTTATTTTAAAGCGCAAAATAAATGTAACACATAACTTTCTTAAAAAAATTATTAAATTTCTCTATTTTTACTACTTAGAATGAACGCAAGTGAAAAAATATGTTTGCTTTAAAATATCAATCAGATTTGTAAATTTTTACAGTAAACTTAAAGATTTTTTTTTAGAACTTAGAAATATTGAAGCGTTTAGCCTTAACAGTATAACCAATAAGATAAATACGGGTAAAATTCTTAGTAAATACTTTTAAACCACTCACAAAAATTCAACGCACTTTGTACATTTTTTTAAATCTTATTTAATTTTTTGTTCAGTAAAAATTAAGTTTTGGTATAACACAAAAATCTATTGTTGAAACATGAAAGAAACGTTATTTTGGGGAAAACTTGAAAATTAGATATTTTTTTTCTTTAAGTGGACGATAAAATGTTTTACGAGTGAAACTTTATTTTCAGCTTTGAGAAAATTGTTCAGTAAAGAAAACGAAGTGTAGTTTGGTGCAAATTGATGTATTTTTAGACAAATATCCAATTGGATTAGTATACGCAATCTCGGATTATCCTTATTAGAGTGCACGCAACATATTTCTGAATTTATACTTCTTTTTATGTCTTCTTTTCAAAGCATTTCTTCGCAACAAATCAAAACTATTACAATTTATTTGTTTTCTTGAAACTTAGTTAATTTTTCTTACTTTAGTTCATTAAATAGTATTTTTTATGTGATTTTCTAGTTGATAAAAATAGAAATCTTCACATTGAGTTTATCGGATTGAAAAAGTGTAATTAATTAAACTGGACACTATCCGTTGTTTCTGGATGGTTTTTAGGTGAGGAAATTACAAGATTTACTTAGAGAGAAAGATGTCCCGAGATATAAAATAAATAAACCAACCAATTTAAATACGGAATCGATTTCCGTCGAGCAATTTGTTCGGGATTTCAACGCGGACTAATTTTTCGTGTGGGCCATCATAACTCATCCGAACAAACTTCATAATACTTCCAACACGGGTCTAATCAAAGTGATCGCAGCGAAAAGGATAGAGTAAATAAAATTTATAAGTTGAAGAAAAAAAACTGTTTCTATAAAACGAACTTTCTTTTCACGAGCGCGTTTCTCCGGCTCACGGCGGATCACGTTGAGAACATTACGGTAACGTTCCACGCCGAAAACTTGGCGAAACATAAATCAGGAGATGAAACTGCGCGATATACTCAATCTTATTATTATTATCATTTCCTATTTTTTTCCTTTAGTAATTGTTTTTTTTGTATTGGTTTTTGTTTCCGGATTGTGGGAAAAGCGCGAATCTAATTGGACGGGTTCGTGTCTTGACGCAGCGTTCGAGTCTCCGCGCTTTTTCGGGTGCAACGTAAACATATTACCGGTATTTATCGGATTTTCTGTTTTTTCTTTTTTTGAACAAATCTTCTTATCTGTTTGCTTTGCGTTTATTTGCGGTATCAACGGTTTTGAACAATGCTACTGCTGGGATAAAGTTTCGAGTGTCGCGCGTACTCGAAACTTAGTCATTTTCGTAATAATCCACTCGAACCGTTATTAAGTGCGCTATTGTCTAAGCACCCCACGCTGCATGCGTATATGTATAGAGTTTCATTAGGGGTTGCAGGGAAATGGTTAAATATTATCAGAAAACACACACGCGTCCGGATTCTTTTGGGGGAGGAGGGAGGTGAGTAACGCAAACACACACGCACGAATGCATTCACCGATTTGAATAGTTTTTGTTGCCGATTGGAGTTAAGGTTTTTTCTGTTGTTGTTGCATTGTTCGGATGCGGGGAGTTATGTAAATTATTCGGCACGAGCCAAAGATGATGCGGGTTTCAGCCTCTCCTAAGTGGTCCGATTTGCATAAGGTGTACTATTGCGTAAACACTATTTAGGGGTGGTTCATAACTTAAGATTATCGTGTATATATATATATTTTAATTCTTTTGGGGGTTTGTGATGATGGTGATGATGATAATAAAGGTTTCTCGTACCTCTAAACATTCCTGTCTAGTATCCAACACTATGCGAAAATAATAAACGAACGCACATAAAACACTAATATTTTCTCTCTTCTGATGATTATTTTTTTTTTCTTCAGCACGTTTTAAAGAGATCGAGGAACAAACACCACAGCACTGTAGATATACATTTATTATTACTTTTTTGTTGTATTATTTGTGTATATCTTCACGGTCGCAGGTATCGGAACTACTCGTTGCGAATTGGATTTAGTTGAAGAATCAACGTATAAATAAAAATAAAACAAACAACGAAACTGATGCGATGTCGGTTTGGGGCGGGGGGGTAGTTACGATGTTGTAATGTTAAACAAATAATTGATGTCGGGGGGGTGAAAATAAAAATATAGAACTTAAAACAATGTACAGGTGTTGAATAAAATAAGACAACAACGTGCGGCCGGACGGCACGGACAACATAGCCGCTCGGCGTTAAAGCTTGAACTGTGTTCTTCGTGTGTTGTTGGCCAATAGGGGGCGGTCTGGAAGAGGGGATGACGACGCGCCCCCACCACCGGGCCGCCCGGGCGCACACCTGAGTGGTAGGGATTGGGGAAGGGATGGCGCGCGGTTGAATGCTCGCGAAATAAGTTTCGACTAGATTTGCAACAATTTCGCGACGCTTTTTTGCCTTCTCTCTCTCTCTCTTTCACTCACTCGCTCTTCATCTCTTTCTCTCTTACGTACATACATATACACACACACATTCGCTCATACTCTCTTGCTCCTCAGCCCGGCCCCTCCTCGACCAATTAATGCCTAGTCTTATTAGGCATAGTCCTCTCTTCTCCTTCATCGTCTTCGTCGCGCTCTTCGCTTCATATCCTCATGCCCTCCATCCGTGCACAGGATCATCCTCGCCGTCGTCGTCGGAACGCAACCTTCGAATTTATTTAAATTACTGGATTACATCGCCATCTTGATCTCGGCAGCCGCTGCTGCGACCGTACGCGCATTGATTTTTTTTTTGGTCGCTGTCTTCTTAATCACGCGTTATGTCACTTTTCAGACGCAAAAACACGTACGGAACGCGCATACGTTTAGCGTACATCCTTCCCATACCAACGAAAACTGTTCTACGAACTTAATATTACTTCAAATTACGTAATTTTTCCTACGAATTATTCTAATTTTCAGTCATTTCATCACACTGAAAATCAAATTTAACTAAAAATTAATTAGATTCTGTTTTCATACAACAGACATTTTTCAATTCAATTAAAATTATTTAACTAATATCAAAGTATTTCTTTAATAAGTGAAAAACACATTAAAATCACGGTTGAAATTATTCTAATTTTCACATTAATATCACTTTTTTCGTACGAATTATTCTAATTTTCAGTCATTTTATCACTTTAAAATCAAATTTAACTAAAAATTAATTAGATTCTGTTTTCATACAACAGACATTT